TACATTAAATAAAACAGGTTTTCACTACATATCAAATCACACAGTTTAATTTGAGTAAAATCTGATGCAAGTTCTCCTACATTTCTTCAGTGATCAACTTTCGTTTTTTCAACAGTTTCTCCCACCTGAAGTCACGGACATTCGCAGCCCCTCCAGAGTTGCCATGGTCCTTCTTGCTGTTTTTTTTTTACAGAAGATCCCTTCGATACCTCAATCCTATAACCAACTTCGCAGTCATCAAGGCGCCATGATCAGCGCCTAACTGAAAATGGATAAACATGTATCCGCTCTTTCTATTCAGATGACCGTTTGCTATTCATCACTCTAATACCTGGCAGAAATGGAGGAAAATGTCCCTTTGAAGATTCAATTACTGCAGAGAGGGAGAGAGGTGTCTCTCTTTGGTGGGCACAAATTGAATGGGCTATTTGCAGAACAAATTGGTGTTTGAAGTCCTTGCAAGACCTAATAGGTCTGAAGGAGGGACCCGGTAATAGCTGATGCACTTATCTGCACAGTGTGTAGCCGCCGGTGAGCCTCGGCGCTGCTGATGAAACAATGCTGTTGCTGTACAAAAGCAGACTTTGATGCAGAAATCAGCTCAAGTAGGAGAGGAAATGGGCCTAAAGAGTAAACAGAATCTTGGGTTCTAAATTGAAATTTCATGCAAGAGGGGATCTGCTCTCAGCCTCATGGGTTTAGTGGTAGATGAGCTGATTCTTGAATGGCCGAGCCTGAACCTCCAAGGTAAGTAACCATTTTTGGATTAGATTCATTTAGGGTTGTTTAGAAGAGGCAAAAAGCTGTTTATAGTTGTTTTTTTAGCCTTTTCAGAGGTGCGACATTTAATATATAGTGTTATGCTTTGGATAAAATGATTCGATTTTAGGTAAATAAAAAATAGAAATCAAGCAAGTTGTGAGGACGATGAGTAATTTGGAAGGTATTGGAGAATATATATATAAAATTATTAATTGACATAAATAGACATTTGTTAAAAAGTCATCAGAACATTTCTTTGTGTTGTTTTTTTCTTTGACTTCCTCCCGTTTCTTCAGAAATCTACAATCATCTTGCTTAATTTGTTCACATATACTAGAACCCTTAGACTCCCAAACTATGGATTGTTTCCAGGGGTGGAAAGTAATGAATTACATTTACTCAAGTTACTGTAATTGAGTACTTTTAGTAGTAGTTTTTGAAATATGTAATTTTCAGAGATGGGAAGTAACGAAGTACAAATAATTCGTTACTGTACTCAAGTAGATTTTTCTGATATTTTTACTTTACTTTACTACTTATTTTTATGGCGACTTTTTACTTCTACTCCTTACATTTAAAAAAAGTGTCTCGTTACTTTAGTTCTGCATCATTTCAATGGAAT